TTTAAATTGTAACTTACATTCTTCACAACTACAAACTGTCATTTAAATGACCCAATAGATTTTAATCATCTCATACGTAGAATCAATGATCTTGGGAACAGGCAAACTCCTTAGAAGGAAGAGCAAGCCGGGTAGGATTACTTCTTATATAACGTGGGCTTACATATTATCCTTATCCAGCGGATAATTTAGCGTTAACCACTTTCACAATTTCCTTGCAAAGTTTATCCTTAATTGCTCTGTTGGTACTCGTATCTCTTATAAAGGCAAAAATGGAGATTACAGCACTTCCATTCCAGTATGGGAGGACTAAGATCTTTCATTCATGTACACTTGAATAAATCCGATCACACTGTCTACTGACGTCGACGTTGAAAGCCACGTTTGAGTCAACTTTTTCCTCTCCCCTCCTTTTCCACCATTGTTATTTTCTACATAATCTCCAGGAAATAATCTATCCACACAATCTTTTGCTACCTATTAAGTCTGGCTATAAATAGAAAAGGAACATACCGCAAATGCACTTTCATCGCATCTTCCTTATCCTCAAGATCTTCACTTGAAGTTAATTGCACGTAGATTAAAACGGAGAATGAGACAAACAATAGTAGTAAGACCTAAAAATAGTGGATAATGCTAGATTTTATGCGCATCGTATAGCAATTTAGTACTTACAGTGCTGAAGACGGCATCGAAGAGAAATGGCCGGATGAAACCGGGACGGCATGAATAGGTACCGTAAAGAGATAAACACGTCAACATCAGATGCACCAACGTGAAGAGAATTACTGAAATGTAATGTAAAAATTGAAAAAAAAACACACTTATTTTAGATAAGTTAAAATTTATATTTAATCCATGTTATGTTTCTTGTATGATTGAAAAACCTACATAAAACACCAACATGGATCAATAAAAAACTGAGTCAAAAACTTAAATCCATGATTTTTCCCATCTCTTAATTTTTGTTTAAGTACGTAACTGTAGACAGTAGGATTTTCAATGATCTGGCCTCAGGATATTAAAATAAAGTGGCTTGTGAGACAGAAGGCAACAAATGCCGAAAAACGCCTGCAGATGGCATTTTCACTCCCTTTCCACCGATTCTTTTTTGCCCATAAAGAGAAAATCCTTAACTTTGCTTAGGCATAAAGCACCTCAG